GCCTTCCTCCTGTGAATAGTTAGTGTTTGTTATGGTATTTTAAGTCGTGTTTTACCCTGATATCATGGATTGCAATGTTTGATAAGTGTATTAACGTAATTGTTAAATCCATTTGTATTGATTTATGATAATTAAGACGAGTCCTGGCCTTAATCCTGTGAACAGAGAGGAGAAATAGTGAAGAATGTGGCGAGAACAGCAACGCCATAATGCCTTGTTGCCAGGGGAAAATAATTTAATTATTTCGTTATTTTAGTGGTCCGTGGATACACTAACGGAAGTAGTCGCAGCTGACAGTTCCGGGACGTATCAATGAATAGATAGATAATGGATATTACTTAACAGAGGTAAGTGTAAGAGAGGAAAATGATAAAGATGAAAGGAAGGGAAATGATGGCCTAAGTAAAATCATGGAAAGAACATGGTTAGACTGGGTGTGAGGGTCGCGATTTTGTCTCACGTATATTTTTATTTTGTTTATTGATATAATTTTGATTTATAATTAATAGGAAAAGGGAGAGTATAGAATTAACTTTAGATATAAATTGAATTATTTAAGAATATTACTTACTTAACGGTACAGTAAATGCAGTTAAAATAGGCCTACATTTAAATGGCATATGACCTCGCTAATATGTCCTGATACAAAAATAGAGTAGAATATAATTAGATAAATTTGAATATATGATAAGTAAATTTTTTCCACACACACACACACGTGCGTGTGTGTGTGTATGTATGTATGTATGTATGTACACATACACACATATATTTACATATACAAATACAAACACATATACATATCTCTCCCTCGTCTCTCGCCCGCCACCCCCCCGTAGTGTCCCCGCCCGCAAATAGCGATGATGCCGCCCGCCGCCCGTCCCTCGTCGGCCGACTCATTGCGGCTTTGTGTTTCTCGGTCGGCGGCGAAAAACAACCGAATAACTGTATCTATTATTTTGTAAAAGCGTGTCAGGTTATAATTTATTAGATGTGATAAATCGTTTTGCCTGTATTTGTGTTGGAAGTCAAGATCTTTTGTGTGTGGGTGTCCGTGTGTGTGTGTGTGTGTGTGTGTGTGTGTGTGTGTGTGTGTGTGCGTGTGGTGTGTTCCGTATGTGTGCGTGTGCGTGTGTGTGTGTGTATGTGTTTAGATTGAATAGCTTTTGTTTTTGTTTGTGTAGTAGATAGATATTTTATTTTTCACCTCTACAATAAAATAATATATATATTTCTATTATCGACATACCATTGTTTGAAGATAGTTTATAGTGTGGTGTGTGTGTGTGTGTGTGTGTATCCATATATATATACATAATACATACATATACATATATACATATAATATGCATATACATATATATACATACGTACATATGCATATACATATATATACATACGTACATATGCATAATACATATATATACAAACGTACATATGCATATACATATATATACATACGTACATATGCATATACATATATATACATACGTACATATGCATATACATATATCATATACATATATATATATATATATATATACATATATATACATACATGCATATACATATATATACAAACGTACATATGCATATATATATATACATATCATATATATACATAATATACATACGTACATATGCATATACATATATATACATACACACATATGGATATACATATATATATATATATATATATATATATATATATATATATATATTATATTAATTAATTCAGCATAGCCTTTAATTCCTAGTTTAATTTGCATATCATGACACCTTCTTTTCCTCTGCAGGGACCTTCGCTTCAACAGAATCAAAAGCATTCCGCCAAACACCTTCAGGGACCTCGGTCGTCTACACACGCTGTAAGTACACCTTTTACGTTGTTGTATGTGCGTTGTATGCTTTGTTTTTTTTTATTATAATACTCTCTTTTTTGTCTGTTTCTGTCTACGACTCTCTCTTTCTCTTTCTCTCTCTCTCTCTCTCTCTCTCTCTCTATATATATATATATATATATATATATATATATATATATATATTGGTAGATAACGATATAATGTAGATTTTCCACCACTGAATTCACTATAATGATAATACCATTTTAACAAGTATGTGCGTTGTATGCTTTGTTTTTTCCCTCTAACACTCTAGTTTTTTGTTTGTTTCTGTCTACCTGTCTCTCTATCTATTTATCTATCCTTCTTTCTCTGTGTATTTATCTTTCTTTCTTTCTTTCTTTCTGTCTATCTGTCTATTTATCTATCTATATATATAGAGAGAGGGGGAATGAAGTTGACAGACCGACAGTTGTAGATATTGATGTAGAAATAGATTTATCCATTACACTGAATTCAAATATAATGATAATACCATTTTAACAAGCCATACGACTGTCATGCTGTTGAACAATATTTTTTTCTTTCTTTTTCTTTTTTCTTTTTTCCGTTTTCATTTTCTTTCTTTTTTTTCCTTTTTTTTCTTTTCCTTTTTTTCCCCCTTTTTCTTTTTTTTTTTCCTTTTTCTAAGAGAAAGAAAAAAATCGTCTCTAAACAGATTTCCCGAGTACACCAGGGCGAGCGATGACATTTCCGCAGCTGCAAAAACCAACAGACATCAGAGGCCCGAGAGAACGCGGCTGAGACGTGACTGACACCGAACCGGCAGACGAAACTGGCCTCTTAAAACGACAGAACAGACTGATTGCTCAAACCGACAGACGAAGCTGACAGATTAAACCGACTGTTTAAACTGAGATTTAGCCGACTCTTTAGACTGAGAGACAAAACTGACAGCTTAATCCGACTGTTTAAACTGATACAAAATTGAACCGACTGTTTAAACTGAGAGACGAAACTGACAGCTTAATCCGATAGACTAAACTGTTCAAGCCAACAGAAAACTGACAGATTAAACCAACAGACTAATCCGATTGCTCAAAACGACAGTCTAAACTGACCGACGAAACAGACAAACAAAACTGGCTGTTTAAACCAACTGACAAAACTGGCTGCATAACTCTTTGACGTCAAGTGGTCAGTAGGACAAATTATAAAGCCACAGTGTTAACTTACAAATTAAACCTGTTTGACTTAAGTGGTACTTTAAACGGACAGACTAAACTGACAAAGAAAAGAGAGACAGACAGGAGTGGGGGATGGGGGAGGGGGAGGGAGACAGACAGACACACAGACAAAGGGGGACTCAGTGAGCGAAAGCTAAAGAGACACACCGAAAAGAAGAGAAAACAAATAGAGAGGAAGAAACAGCCATAGAAAGAGTGCAAGTGAAAAACACTGATACCTCCAATACCATTAAATACAATGATACTTAAATACCGTAGAAAAGATACCAATACTCAAGGGAATACACCCATACCTTAAGAAAAACATAAACATAGGAACAAATTTAGAAAAAAAATAGATAGTTTTGGAGGGACACATACTACTGAAAACATACTAATGTCTTTAGGAGCACACTAATACCTTTGAAAATGTACTGATATCTTTGGGAATACTGATACCATTGAAAACTCACTTGGTACCTCTGGAAACACACTGATACCATTGGAAAACCATTGATACTTTGGGAAGAACACATACCAATACCTGTCGAAGGACTCCAGGACGGAAGACTAGTGTGACCTTTCCTTCAGCTGACCTGACTCCGGCGAGGCTGTCTAGGGATCCCAAAGAAAAGAAGACTAGCGTGACCTTCGCTTGACAGAAGAGTGTCCACGCAGCGAAAGGACAGCAGAAGACGTCCAAGCAGCAGAAGACGTCCAGGCAGTGTAGGACGTCAACGGGGCGAAGAAATTCCTTAATTACATGGGTCTCAAAACACACAAGCAATTTGCATGCATCATTACACGCACCTCGCCCTCGACTGTGAGCGGACGAGAATCGCTCTTATGGGTAGGGGAGCACAAGGTTGAAATTAGCCTGCAACTCTTAAGCGTAAACTGAGACTCAATAACAGTGTTTTGCGTGATGGGAGGAGGGGGGGGTGGAGGAAGGGAAGGGAGAGGAGAGAAGGGAAAGATGTGAAAGTTGGGGAAGGAAGGGAAGGAGATAGAGGAAGAGAAATAAATAAAGGGAGAGGGATGGTGAAGGAAGGAGGGAAGGAGGAAGAAGTAAGGGTGAAAAAGGGAACGGAGGAGAAAGTAATGGAGAGAGTAAAGGAAAGAATAGGAAGGAAGAAGAAAGAAAGAAAAAAAAGAGGAAGGAGAAAGAGGAAGATCAAAGAGCAGGAGAAGAGGCTGGGGAGGGAGGGTCAGAGAGCAACAGGAAGAGAGAGACAGAGGGAGCAGGACAGTGTATATACAAGGAGCAGGCTGCAAAAATATGAGAAATTTGACCATGAAATTTGAAAGCCCTGATCACGGCGGGTGGGGTGGGGTGGGGGTGGATGGAGGGGGTGGAAGGGTGGAGGTGGAGGAGAGAAGAGAGAGAAAGGAAGAGAGGAGAGAGAGAAGGGAAGAAAGAGAAGAGAAAGGAGAAGAGGAAACGGAGTGAATTGATTGTATTGGAGGTGAGTTGTGTAGAGGAGAGAGAGAGAGAGAGAGAGGGAGGGAGGGAGGAGAGGGAGAGGGAGGGAAGAGAGAGAGAGAAAGGAAGGGAGAAGGAGAGAGAGTGAGTCAGAGAGAGAAAGAAAGAAAGAGAAAGAGGGTGGGGAGAGAGAGACAAATGAATGAACGAAAGGAGAGAGAAAGAGGAACAGGACGAAAGGGAGTAAGAGATAGAGGGAATTGCAGGAAAATTGAAATGGAGGAAGATATGGGGGGAGAGGGAAAATATAATAATGAAAGCAATGACAATAATTATGCGATGAAGGATGAAAGTAATGATAATGTTAATTGAAATAATGTTGATACTACTCATGACAACTACGACAATTTTTATTCATAAAGCGTCTTAACTACATCGTAATATTTGATATATGTACATACGAAGTTAATTTTATCATTTTTTGTCTGTCAATTGTATATTATTATC